TAAAAATAACATATATAAAAAAGAAAGATGATAGATGATAGATAGATAGATAGATAGATAGATAGATAGATAGATAGAGATGATAGATGATAGAGAGATGATAGAGAGATGATAGATAGATAGATGATAGAGAGATGATAGATGATAGAGGATAAATGATGATGATGGATAGATGATGATAGATAGATAGATAGATAGATAGACAGACAGATAGATAGATAGATGATAGAGAGGTGATAGATGATAGATAGAAGATAGATAGATAGATAGATAGATAGATAGAAAGAAAAGGTACGTACATAGGTATTTGATAGACTGTAGACACAATGGTACTAAGTAGACAGATGACAGATGATAGAGAAATATAGATAGATAGATAGATAGATAGATAGATGATAGATAGATGATAGATAGATGATAGATAGATAGATAGATAGATAGATAGATAGATAGATAGCCCTAAAAACAATGACTTAATACCCTACCACCAAAACAGAAACTGAAATATTGAATGCCAAGTATAAGCAAGTGGTTGACATATGTAAGCAGAATTTAATATCACAGTTCAGAACAAATGAGAAGAGAATTTGTCCTATACAACTGAAGTCTGTTGGAGGACACTACTCTAGATGGCTTTTAGTGGTCTCTGATTTGCCTTTTCCTATGGTAATACTTAACAACAAGAGTTTTGTGATGTATATAGGCTTTTTCTTGAGGTGAGTAGAAAATTGTCTCATCAATTCAGCATCTTCTATGGCATTAAAATACCTCCTCCTGAGCATTAATGGATATTGATTCAGTCTTCCAAGGTCAAAGTTGCAATCATTATATGAAGCCTCAAATGGTTCTAGATCATGAACTGTTTCCATCTACTGTGCCTGCCTGCATAGGTGCTATCTGCAGTGGGACTCATGACTGTTCTTCCAATTCTCCCTTCATATTATCCAGAGGAAACAACCTCTGAATAAAAATGAAGGTGCATCTCACAGCACTCTCTCCCTCTCCCTCTCCCTCTCCCTCTCCCTCTCCCTCTCCTTCTCCCCCTCCCCTCCCCCTCCCTCTCCCTTTCTCTCTCCCCATCTCTCTCTCCCCCACCCCATAAAATTATCTCAACAAGCAGGTACAACATCCTAGGGTGCACTGGATGAATCTTGTGAGTCCATGAAATTTGAATAAATCACATCTGGGAGCAAAGCACCAGTGATCCGCTTTGTACCTCAGCAGTGTGTACACTGTCCTAGTTTCCAAAGCTTACAATAATGGGTTCTTTTCTAAAATCTCAAATTGAAAAGGGTGGACTCTGAAAATCATGAGCCCACATAAAGTAGCTGAAAACAGAAGACTCCACAGAACTGCAGGGATCTAATAGGTTCAAGCATCTTACTAAATTGCCTGACAAGGAATGTTCTGTGTTTACATAGTCAAATCAGGTAGCTAAAAATGAAAACATTTGGAAAACCTTTAGCAAAGTATTAAGCCTCATTCACATCAGCTCATTTAATAGAGCTCTTCTCGGACTTTATTTCTAATATTTCCTTTCCTCTAGGTCTGCACTGCAGGCAGACGTTTCTTCTGTGTTACTTGATGTGTTTTACCTCTAAGCATTCCTCCTGCCTTATGACCTACTAGGGGTACCTATCCCATTGTAGGCTCAACAAAAGCTTTTTAACTTTTATGAATATTTTCCATAATCTTCTCTCCCTGCACAACCATAGATAGTAGTTTTGTATGTATGTGATATGTTTGGAATTTTAATCATAACAAGTTACTTCATTGTTACTTGAAAATAATATTTAGTAGTGTACCAATTATTGTAAACTAATTTGTTTAGGTATTTATCTACAATGACCTACCAAGAAGCAACCTATATATGACTAAATAAATTAAAATAGACTCAAGTACCCAGGCAGAGAGAAATCCACTAGCCACACGCCGTATTACAAGTGAGTAGAGTGGAGGCAGGAAGATGGGGAAGGAGAAAATGCAGAGCAGCCCTCACTGTGATTGGAGCAGGGGCTCAAAGCATTAAACACCCTTTCTTCCTTGTTTTCCATTTCATGAGATTCAGTGATAGCATGGACCTGAAGATTTTGCTATGACTATACCTTAAGTCCAACAAAACCAGCTGTTGTACTACTTACTATGTTGGTCAATAAAAGGAGGAAGGCATTGGACACGATAGTTGGGAAGCATGAAAAAACTGTTAGAAATATATGTAGAAGACCCCAAGTGAAGGAAAGGTTTCTACGTCAAGCTATATAAAACGTCTAGGATCTTGAAGTAATTTCTGTAGACTGATTTTCTAGTGTTTTCTTTTCTAAAAGAACTAATGGGTTTGTCACGGAATTGCCTGTATTTGCCTTCTATTGCAGGTCTGTTTTGTGAATCTGGATGTAAGCAAGGATGCTTGCAGTACAGAACATCTGCAGCAGGTACCACATTCATATCAATATCCCCAGGAACTGGTTACAAGGGCCAGCATCCGCCCGTGATGCTCTCTGTAGATGCATCCTCTAGCTGGCTTCATCGCTGCCCTTTCCCCGACCTGGGCCTGCTGCTGCTGTTGCCCTTCTTAGACTCTTGAGACTCACTTTTACCTGCCTGCAAAGCTGTCCAGGAGAGTGCCGCCTCTTACACATCAGCACCCTAAAGTAGTAGTTCTGTCCTTCACTTTCAAACACATGGTCTGAGATGATTCTTACCAGCTATCTATACTATGACTCGAGTGACGTGGGCCAGACCTTCCCTCTGGTTCCAAGGTTACTCTAGGTGTTTTCATCACATTTTATCACTGACTTTTCTCCTTTGTCTTACACTCATCCTGAGCCCAAACATTTTGTGCCTTGTAACAGCTGGCTTTCTCAAGATCATCCATGTTTGTGAATCCCTGGTTTAAATCCATGACAGCAAAGCTAAGGGGGCTTCTCCTCATCCTTTGCTGTGATACTGTTTCATTTATAACAGCAGGCTATCAGTAGTTAGGTTATCACTCAATAGTACACAAAGTCTTCAATTAATTGATGCTAAGTGCTCAGTTACCCAGTACCTCATTATAACATAATTCTTGGGATCATTATCCTATAATATTTTTCCCGGTATTGCTGAATTACTTCTCAAATTCAGTTACTCACACAGATTGCCCATTAAAAAACTTCACCAAGTTCCAAATACTATCATTCATGGAGCACTGGAGGTTTTCCAAAGGACCATGTACAAGCAATTTTATTTGATGGTGTTATGTAGAGTCCATTAAAGATGGAGCAGAGAGGGTGAAAACAAGTTGTTAAGGATTAAATGGAATAGGATATGTAATCTTTGCCAAAGTGCTTATTACACAGTCAAAGTAAGTCAGTATTAGACATAACTTGTATTATTGTTGAGTGTTTAGAAAAGAAGACTACTAGGAAACAATTCCTTTTACTCAAAGTCTTAAGAGGGAAACATTTTTCCAAACTATTGTTTATTCCTATTGTATGATAGTAACTGCTAAATATTCACTTTGGAAAATATAAAACCAAAGAGTTTTTAAGGCTTAAATTTTATATCCCAATCTTAATTCTCACTATTTAATCTGGCAGTTTCATCATTAGCTAGTGTGCTAGGCAAACTGTAGATCGTTTTTTCATATGAAACTGTGTGGAAGTATCATTTTGGAGGGGTAAAGAACTCACCTGAACTAATAGAGTTTCACCCACAGAAACTGGTCAACGTATCACCAGATCTTCCAAAACTTATCAACTCCATGAATGTCCAACAGCCCAAAGAAAACGAAATCGTCCTCCTAAGTGGGTTAGCTTCTGGAAATCTCCAGGCAGATTTTGAAGTTTCACAGGTAAGAAACTTGAGTTCTTCATAAGTCATTCACTCAGTGATAAGTTTTCTGCAGCCAGATCAATATGAACCCAAGACAGCTGCTACGTGGGAGTTCCCATATCATAAGAGCCAATAATTACCTTGTATTTCACAACAACCTCATTTGTATTTCTCCCAAGTATCACCGCTCAGAGTTTGATGGAATGTCCTTTGCATCAACTCTCAGATTTATGGTGCCTAGTTGCACTTGGGCTTGAGATCATGAGCACTGGTTATTTTGCTTTGTTTTCTACAAAGCCTAGTAAATATTCAAAATCAGAATTCTCTTCTCTTTTAGGAAAAAGACCAAAATTTTAATTCTTATACAATCCTCTGGGTTTGAAAAAAAATACCAAATTACCCAAGATAGTAAATAAACAACATAGCTTCAAGGATGGAAAAGAAATTTCCTGGGCCAGAAGAATAACAGTGCCAGGAAAAAAAGAAAAAGAAAGATATAAGTAAAGTAGGAACTGAAATATTGTCATCTTTTAAAGGATTTATATGTTTATTTTTATTTTATGAATATGCGTTTTGCCTGCGTATATGCAAGGACACCCATGAGTAAAATTTCCACAGAGGCAAAAGGAGAGCATTGGATCTCCTGGAACTGGAGTTACGGATGTCTGTTAGCTATGTGCGGGTGCTGAAAACCAAACTTGGGACCTCTGGAAGAATAGTCAGTGCTCTTACCCAGTGAGCCATCTCTCCATTCTCTGCTGTCATCCTCTGATATAATATATATATATAATTTATAATTTATTACTATATAAATCACCATTCTGGCCTCGAACTCACGATCCTTCTTCCTCTGCTTTACAGCATTTTCCTACTAGCATGAACTAAGGGGAAAGAAGAATACTGGGGGCAAAAGAATACAGCAGGAGGAAAGGGGGGCAGGAAGTTGAGGGGAAGCAGGTGAGGGGAGGGGAAATAAACCAAAATGAAATATGTATGAAAATTCCATATGAAATCTATTACATTGAAAACAGCTCTAAGTTTCCTTTATATTCAGCAAAACAATGAGGAGGAGGAAAAAAAATTCCAGTCTGTTTTATAAATCATTCACTACTGGGTCTCTATCTCCGCCTTCTCTCTCCCTCTGTCCCCAGGGAATGAACATCTACCAGAACAGTTTTAAAGGGCCTTATTTATCTAGGGTGAAGCTCTCCAATATAACAAATTAATCTACAGATAACTAACTCTCAAGCCAAATCTTCAGTCCCATTTATACTAAATCATGGCAAAAAGAAAGCAGTATTCACCGGCCCTGGCCTTAGCATGTATCTGCACACTGGTGTAGCAGTTTGCATTGACAAAGGACAAATCCCACAGTTTACAATAATTTGAATTCCGTAAGCCAGAGAGACGCCGTATTCCTGAGTACTCACTATTAGGACTTGAAATTAAAGGAATTGGGTCTTTCTGAGTCTGGGCCTACCCTTCCATGAAACAGAACAGCACATCCTACGTTGAAGTACAGCTTGTCGGAAAGAAGAGCACATTATTTAAACCAAGTGTTTGCTGGTTAAAAAAAAAAAAAGACAAAATGGTTAAGAAAAAAAATCTAATATCTTACAAAAATATCACTAAAGCTCTGTTATATATCCTTTCAGAGATATTTTATCTTCAAATTGCAAGGCTCATAATTCTAAGCAATTTGATTAATTAATGGAAAGGACTTATTATTAAGTAATCATATATCCTTGATTGTGTAGCTGCTCAGAGATGCTGCCTCCACTGCTGTGTTCTTGTGTAAACTTGGAAGGATGGGTTCGCTTTCCTGTGCCTTCACTTTCTTATTTGTAAAAGTTCAATAGAACCACCGACATCATAAAATTGTGATCACATTAGAGGATATAAAATTTAAAAACACCCAGTAAGCAATATGAACAGAAGAGTAATACTTACAAAAAGCATTTTTATTAAATGTGCACTATTATACAAGTTTGATATTTTTAGAAAGAAAATATACTTTCTTAATAGTCTTTTCAGAAGTAAATGAAAATCTAAGGATTGAAGCTAAATAAAGTGAAAAAAAGCCTCTAAAACAATGGTAGGTATTATTATATAATTTTTATACTAGTGCTTAGAGATAATCAGTCCACTTGGAGCTGGTGTCTTTGCATTTCATGTTGGCCCGGTCTTCAGGATAGCAGGAACCCTGAGTGCAGTTGATAGAACACTTACTACACATCCAAAATGCTGACAGAGGCTCTACTCACTCTCATCAAGCAAAAGATATTGCTCAGAGAAGCAATCTCCATTTAGCAAGAGATGATCTGCACACCCGCTCTACAACCACCTCCTCTCTTCTCTGGAGAAGCTTCCTCCTCGCCGTCCTCTGGCCTCCGTCTACAGAAGACATTACATCCACAAAGGGTATCACTGTGGATCGTCTGTCTGCCCATTTTACATGGAAATCTCATTTAAATATTTCCTTACAGTTTTACAAGCCAATATTTTCTTTTTCTAGAACCTGAAAGCCATGTCTTTGAAACCAATCATCAAGGAAATTAGCGCCCCTGTCCCAGGCTCTGCCGGCAAGTGGGCACCTAATCTCTGTCGGCCACTGGCTCCAATTATCATGAAGATAACAGAAATTTTACTTTTCCCTTGTGTAAAGCTATTGAGCAAACACAGATGTTCTAAAATCCCTCTTGCCTTTTGCTTCAGTGGAGAAATGGTCTGAGTTCTGCCTCCTCTATTTCAATAGTCAAATAAAATTTTCCTTGCCTGTTGAACTTGGAACAGTTCAATTTCTGCTTTCATTGGAGAAATCTAAAATATGTGATATATCTGGTCTATTGTCCTCTAAGAAAACTTCCCCCTAAGTACTCTGTGCTCTGAAATGCCATGTGACTGATTTTTTTTTTCTAACGGTTCATCAGCAGAAGCTCTGAAAATATTTCAAATATTTTTAAGAGCCCCACTGCTTTTAGTAGGAGAGGTTTGTGGTGAGAGAAAGGTCAGAAGTAGTTGTTTACTGCCCCCTTTGAACAGTGTCTTCTTTTCTTTCTGCTTTTAGTGCCCCTGGCTGCCAGATATCTGCTTGGTCCAATGTGCAAGAGGAAACAAACCAAACAGTACCAACTGCATCATCTTTGAAATCAATAAATTCTTGATTGGTCTAGAACTGGTACAGGAGCGGCAGCTCCACCCGGAAACCAGCATCTTAAAGCTGGAGGATGACACGAACTGTTCCCTATCTTCAATTGAGGAAGATTTTCTTACTGCCTCTGAGCACTTGGAGGAAGAAAGTGAGGTGGAGGAATACAGGAATGGTAAGAACGTCCTAAAATTCGTCACCTTCTAAAACTCTCAGAATAATCGAGTTCAGGAAAGTTTCAGGCCACATCAAGTTGGCTGACACATCACAGTCTTTACTTGCTTAGGTTTTAGGAAGATGCTGACTAATGCATTTAAGCGGGCTTAATGGTCGGATGGGTACAGGCTCCTAAAAGATGCCTTAGGGATGCTGAGGAAATCTGTGCACTTTAAAGGGAAACCTTCCTACCTGCCAAGAGAAAGAGTCTATCCCTGTGAGGCTGCCCCCTGAAACTTCCATAAAAGGCAGTATTATTAGTTGGAACCAAGTTGGGCTGACTAGGATTTGAATCCCAGAGCTGCCGCTCTGAGACTGTCCTTTGAGCTTCATTTTCAACAATGCCTGTAGCTAATGGTTGTTTGGGGGCTAGAAAGAAATGACCCAGGAAAATACTTAGCACTTATTTGTTCAGTCCTTCTATTGACTCATTAATAGAGCTCAATAAATGGGTTCCTCTCCCACCTAAGTCACTTTGGGAAGGAAATTGCCATTGTTTCTCAGGCAGGTCCTATTCAAACTTCAGTGCAAATCTTTGTACTAAGGTGGCTATGAACTTCCTTCCATCTCTTCTCTGTTCTCTGAGATGAATTTGTCTGTGTTACTTTCCCCGTCAGTCCCAAATACTTTCTACCCTGACCCCTGCATTTGTGTGCCACACTGAAACCCATAATGAAATTCAACAGCCTTCTCATGTTTATTTTCTTGACTCAATACCCACATACTATATTTGAAGGACAAAAAGATAGCTGGATGCCTTAATACAGTTTTAGAAAGTAATTGTTAGTTTGGACCCATTCGAATCTGCTATCCAGAAGGTAATGGTGGTCCTCAATTTCTCTTCATTAGGTTTTGAAAATATAAATGTGTCAACTAATGTTTCAGAAAGTAAAAAGCCAAAGGAAACTACCCAGGAAGAATGGAATCACAACAAAGAAAAGCTACATTATGCTGTGGAGGACAAATACATTCGAAAATACTGTATGCCCCTGATTAAAACAGAAGGATCAAAGGAGAACATAGTGAATGGCACAGCCTTTCAAAGCCTCGGTCCTGCGGCCAAGCTGTCTCAGGAGAAAGGTGAACCAGCAAGGAACGAGCAACTACCCACTAACCATTATTATTCCAAAAATCTTAAGGGACAAGTAGAAAATTCTCCAGCACTGTATATTCCCAGTAATGCTTATCTCTCTATGATGGTTAAGAAGGACGGGCTTTCTTCATGTGGCACGGTTACCGATCAGGGCAGCAACCTAGAGCCCAGAGACGGTGAAGATACCCAGAACTCTCTTCCGCCAGTTCCAAATGGAGAAACCACGACTGGGGAGTATGCTACAAACTTAGCAGAGTCTGTGCTGCAAGACGCATTCATCAGACTATCTCAGTCTCAGCCCACACTCCCCCAGGAATCTGCCATCAGCATCTCTAGGGGAAGTGCTCTACTTCCCAGTAGCTGTTCCACAAAAGATATGGTGGTCCCTCGCTCATGGAATGAGCTCCCCAAAATCGTCATTGTGCAGAGCCCGGATGGCGGTGACACTGCCCCTGAACCAGTGGTCTCCTCCTGGCCTGAAATGGAAGTTTCTGTTGAAACCTCAGGCATCCTGTCTGGAGAGAGCTCCAGCAGACCCCCTCAAAGTGCTCTGGAAGTCGCACTAGCTTGTGCAGCCACTGTGATTGGAACCATTTCCAGTCCACAGGCCACAGAGAGACTCACCATGGAGCAAGAACCCCTGATATCCAACTGTGCTCAGAGAGGCAGGGGGGTGCTGCAAACTCAAGTACCCCAAGAACTCAAGGAACCTTCCATAAGTGAATACTCTTTTCCATCAGCTCTGTGTGGCATGACACAGGTGGCAAGTGCCGTTGCTGTCTGTGGCCTGGGTGAAAGAGAAGTGACCTGTCCTGGAACCACAAGTGGCTTCTTGTCCACATCTGGAGCTTCTGAAGAAATACCATCGATTTTCAGTTTAGCGACAGAGGGGAGCATGGAGCTGGGGAAGGAAGCCATTGCAGAGGCCTTGCTTAGGGAGGCTGCTCTGGTTTTAGGGAGGCCTGACACATACGGAAGCACTGCAGAGCTCATGGAGTCCTTGAACAGGAGGATCATAGAAACCACTTCCAAAACCCAGACCCTGTGCTCAGAAAATATCCTAAGGAATGAACTGGCACAGACCCTGTCCAATGTTATCTTAAAGCATTCCATTGATGAAGTTCACCATCAAAACAAAATAATTCAACCCAGTGATGGCAGGCATCCATGTGAAACTCTGGATGCCTTAATGGAAAGTGCAAATCAGCTGATCCACAATGTGCTGTGCTTCACGTTCAAGAAGATGCGCCACATAGTACAGCTTGGTGAGCATCCCAGTGTCCTTTGTAAGGAGACCATCAGATGGACAGACACAGAGTCCCAAGGTTGCCAGCCATTTGATCAGGCTGCTGCCGGCCAAGCATGGATAAAAGCCCCAGCATGCTCCAGTGGCCATCCACTTAGCAATCCACGGGGCACTAGTCTTGTCATCACTGATCTTGTAGAGGAGATGCCTCCAAAGCAAGACAAGGTTGGGGCGAAACCAGGACTGTTCAACAACCCCAGGCTGCAATCTGAATTGTCATGCCATCACAGAGTGCTTGATTCATCGACTGCTAAAACTGTCCCCAAGGACTTATATCTGAAAGGAATGGTGGGCGAAGACACAAAGGACCCTCAGCACAGACTCGGTTATGGTGGCTGTGAACGGAGAGTCTCAACAGAAGCAGTAAAGGGACCAAGAGCAGGCAGGTGCAGCAGCAGCTCCCAAGAAGAGGAGGACAGTATGGATCCAAACATCCAAGAAAAGTACAATTGTGCCACATCCTTAAGCAATGAAGTCCAAGTTAAGCTGCCTTTGTCGGGGGATGACCTCACGTTTCCCATTCAGTCTACACCTCAGACAAGATGCTCCGAGGAGGCCTACTGCATTACAGACTTTGCAGAAGAATTAGCAGAGACTGTTGTCTCCATGGCAACTGAAATCGCAGCAATCTGCCTTGACAACTCCAGTGGAAAGCAGCCTTGGTTTTGTGCATGGCAAAGAGGGACTGAGTTTCTAGTGACACCCAACGTTCCGTGCCGATCTTTGAAGAGGAAGAAGGAAATCCAGGGCAGTGGATGCACTGTGAGGAACAAGCCACCTCGCCTCAGCGAAATCAAGAGGAAAACTGATGAGCACCCTGAGCTGAAAGAGAAGCTGATGAACAGGGTCATGGATGAGTCTATGAACCTCGAAGACATCCCTGATTCTGTCAGTACTTTTGCAAATGAAGTAGCAGCCAAGATCATGAACCTAACCGAGTTCTCCATGGTGGATGGTGTGTGGCAAGCCCAGAGCTGTTCCCGGAACAGGCTCCTAGGTGGTGAGAGGTGGAACAGGCTGAAGGCCTCCAGCTGTGAAAGCATTCCAGAGGAGGACTCTGAAGCCAGGGTCTATGTAAATAGCCTGGGTTTAATGAGTACCTTAAGCCAGCCAGTCAGCAGGGCCAGCTCTGTCTCCAAACAGTCGAGCTGTGAGAGCATCACCGATGAGTTTTCCAGGTTCATGGTGAACCAGATGGAAAATGAAGGGAGAGGATTCGAGTTATTGCTGGATTACTATGCTGGCAAGAATGCCAGCAGTATTCTAGGCTCAGCAATGCAGCAGGCATGTCAGAAAAATGAGCACCTCAGTGTGAGGCCAAGCTGTCCCTCTAAGCAGTCCAGCACAGAGAGCATAACAGAGGAGTTCTACAGGTACATGCTGAGGGACATTGCCAGAGAAAGCAAAGATAGCACCTCCTCCAGACAGAACAGCCAGGATTGGACCACTGGCTTACTGTCTCCTTCTTCAAGATCCCCACTATGCTACAGACAGTCATCCATGCCCGATAGCAGATCCCCATGCTCCAGGTTAACTGTGAATGCACCCATCAAAGCCAATTCCTTAGATGGCTTTGCCCAAAACTGCCCTCAAGATTTCCTAAACATACAGCCGGTCAGTAGAGCTTCCTCATCTGGACTCTGCAAGTCTGACTCCTGCTTGTATCGAAGAAGTGGGACAGACCAGATCACAAACATGCTAATTCATGAGACATGGGCCAGCTCCATTGAGGCTCTGATGAGAAAGAACAAGATTATTGTGGATAACCATGAAGCAGATGACGCCAATCCTGGTCCTGGTGTTTCTCTGCAAATGGAGAAGTGTGCAAACAGATTAGCCACCCGCAGAGTGCACAGGGGTCCAACTCTGATCCTGCAAGAGTCTGTCGATTACCCAAAAAAGGATGTTGTTAAGGAAAGCAAACATTCTCCAGAGTCATCTCCAAACAAAACAGCTCCTGTTACGAATCTTGATGGCTTTGATTCTAGAAAAGAAACTTTCTCATGCCACAGTGCTGGTGTTCCCAGACACCCTAGGCAGTTGCTGCACTCAAGGGATGTGCCTTTGATTCAGATTGAAACAGATCAGAGAGAAGAGTGCACTGGAGAATCTCAACCCTTCCTTCCCCAAAGTGGCTCCCTGGAGGAAGCAGGAAGGCACCAGAGTGAAGAAACCATGCCAGGTGTGGCCAGAAGTGGGGAGACAACCTTGAGTGCCTGCCAAAACCTTAGGTGAGTGAGTCATCTCAGATCAGATAGTGACATGCCATACCTCCATTCCTGTTATTCTAAATCTTAGGCAGATAGACAGGGACATTATCAATGCAGATACAGACCTCCCTGAACAATGTGCGCTAAAGAGAAGGTGGGCATTCCTCTCACCTTGCCTGCTGCAGTTTCTCTCCATCTGTCCTTGCTGTGGCTATAGGCCTAGGTCATGACTCTTCATGTGCCTACTGATTTATGTGCTTAGAATGCCTATGCTTCATCCTCTTCTAGAATTCACAATTTTGGTCAATTTTGCTCATGTACCTCTAATAGTTCTTGGCTCAAAGTGCTGTCATATATTTTTATCTCATGTCACCCAACTGCCAGGAAGCAAAGTGAATTCATCCCCATATCTGAGGGAATTAGGTTGCTGCTTGGCTCCTTACTTGGTGGTCAGTTATGTTTCACAAACAAATGATCATTATAAAAATATGAAACTACCCTAAGCCTGATAAATTTCTGTTACACCTTGCTGTTAGGGGAAAACATCCTTTTATGCTACCCCAAAATAGTTTGTAGTTACCTATGAATATTGGTTTGAGCATTCTCCCAGCACTTTGTACAACTGAGGCAACACTGGGTTGGGGCAATTAAGTATTTGGAATTCAAAACTATTTTATTCTATAAAAATGGCATAATAAAATATTTTCTTAGGGCAGGACAGATGGCTCAGTGGTTAAGAGCACTGGCTGCTCCAGCAGAGGGCCCAGGTTTGATTCTTAGCACCCACATGGTGGTTGACAATCATCTGTAACTCCAGTTCCAGGGGAATTGAACATTCTCTTCTGATCTCCGTGGGCCTTGCACAACATGAGTGCCCTTACATACATTCAGGAAATGCACTCATACACATAAAAATAAAAATAATAAATAAAATATTAAAATAAAATATGTTCTTATTGCAGAAAGAAAAATGGAAGGAAGGAAGGAAGGAAGGAAGGAAGGAAGGAAGGAAGGAAGGAAGGAGGCATTGGGAGTACCTTACATTTTTAATTTCCAAAACAAATTTGATTCATTTATATAACAGAGGAAAGATATACTCTCCCTTATTAAAACAAATATATCATGGCTTACTAGCTCTTAAATTTATTCAAGGTGATTTTCAAACAAAGATAGCATAATAAGCAATATCAACATCTTTCATTTGTAAATAAATTTAAATTTTACTGTGAGAATTTGAGATTCATATTTTGCATCAGTTCTCTAGTTTCTTTTTTCAAGAAATTTCTGTCCTTCTTTGCCTCATTCCAAGGATCTCTGTAGAGACACTGTGTGACTAATGTCAACTCTTTCAAGGCACAGTGTAGCTGTGACAGTGCAGGTACACAGCAGCTCTAGAGTGCTGTCCAATGGACAGCACTTTCCCAAACATTTGTAATGCAAGAAACAATGCATTTTGAATTTGATGCAAGGTAATTATTTCTCTTGGGGTGTAAGTAATGTCAATTCCTTTTGCAAGTTTCACTTTCTGCAGACTATTTATATGAGACTATTGATATGAGACCATTATATCATTTCTTTATTTTTAAATTTTAATTAAAGTTACACAAAACAGGAAAACAAAAACAAAAATTCAAGCTGTTGACTTTAGAAGCATACACTTTGAGAAATAATTTGTATAGTTAGTCTTTTCAGAGATAAACGCTTACTGTTCATTTTTTTCCAAAAAAGCTTATGATTTTTAAATATTTAGCTGCAATAAATAAGTTGAATACAGATACTACCAAATTTCAGCAGCTCTCTAAAGTTTGGGGTGTATTTCCACCTAGGAAGGAATCTCTTTTTAGGTACTGAAGCTTCCCACTAGAGGGGGTCATTCTACGGTGCTGTTAGTGCATGGTATGGTCGTACTTCTATTAGTCACTTGATGTTAAGAATTTTCCTTTCCAACTGGATGAAACCCCAGAAGCAGGTAAGGAGGAGAAAGTGGAAAAACATAAGGACCAAAAAAAACAAAGTAAAGCAAATTAAGTTAGCCAGACTGACCAAGAGACCAGGTCTTATCAACTGTTTGGCTATGGATAATATTCATCACAGATTTGCAGAAGGAACTATGGAGAATTAATTTTTTTAAATCAAACTGGTAAACAAAATAGTCAATATGCCATTCTTTTTCATTGACGTGACTTGAAATACAAGAAAAAGAGAAACATGGATCATGGAGTCCATGACTTAGAGTCAGCTTAAACATGGCAATCATAACCCAGCCAAGATTCATAATCAAAGAAGGCCAACAAACTAGAAAGTGTCACAGAGTTGCAGTCCAATGAGATTCATAGTGGTAGACACAATCAAATAGTGATTCTCTTTACACAGTTTTGAATTAAACGTCACTGGTGTTATTATTTTTTTATGTGTATATGTGCATTGCCTACATGTAGATAGGTGTATTCGTGTTGTGAAATGCCCACGGAGGACAGAAGAGGCTGTTGAATCCCCTGGAAGTGGAGTTAGGACAGTTGTTAGCTGACATGTGGGTGCTGGGATTTGAACCCGGGTCTTCTTCAAAAACAGTGTTCTTAACCTCTGAGCCATCTCTCCAGCCCCCACTGGTGTTATTCTTAAGATAAACTTAACCTGTATATTCCAAATCTTTGAAATATGCATGAATAAAGACCAGCTGACCTAGATCCCAGGTCCTTACTTCATATAATCACCCAAGCATGCAATCTCTCACCTCAGGATATGGATATCTCATTGAATTTTTCATCAACAAAACAAAAAGAATATTGAATATCCACCCCTAGGAATTTAAGAGTTGGATCTACTTATAAAACATGAGGACTAGGTATTGAATATATTTTCTCTTTGTAAAGCAATATAAAAAATTGTTATACAACATGAACTATACTATCTTGAACTATCATTTTCCTTAATCTCTTTTTAGATCAGTTTATTCAACTGTAAGTGAAAATAACTGTGATCATATAAAATATTTCTTAGAGTTTAAATAATCTTTACACAAAGCTCTTAGTTTAACACCTCATCCACTGTCAACATGCAGTTGATCCATTATGTTGTCATTGCTGTCTGTTCATGTTGTTTGAAGTAGGAAACCTGTCATGAACAGTTTGAGAGTTTTATTTAAAAAATAAAAAAGAATTACCAAGCAGAAAAATTAGTCACTTTTTCTGAGCTCAGAGTTGTTATCATGGGACTTGATTGGTCAAAATAGTTAAAAACAGAACTCAATTTCCTGTGGAAGTTTGGCCTACTTATGCACAGAGTAGGGGAGACAACATAGACAGCCTGAATTCTGTTTTAGAGGTAGAGAGAGATTATGTGCTCAAGATAGTTTTAGGCTGTTCTCTGAGGGACATCATAATCTTAAAATTTTGGTTCAACACAGTGAAATAAAATTACTTTCTTACTTTTTTTCACTTGATAAAAAATAACAACTGAAGATTTATTATGGAAATCATTCTGAAATGCAAGTATTTGTTGACATTTAGATCATCACATTTTAAATATATTCAGACTATAGTTCTTGATTCTTTAAAAAAAGAAACATAATATCCTGTTGGTGGAGATCAGTTACTTCTTAACACATGCTGCTCAGAGATGTTTGAAGAACATTTATTTAACTTTGGACAATTTTAGCCTTAAGCATAAACAATAAGTTGAATCCAGTTATTCCATTTCCTAGGTTAATCTTATATTTTAGAAATATAAAACTTACACAAATAACAATTGATCTTTAACAAGAAGCAATGACAGCACAATTTAGAAACAAAATTTCCTTATTAGATTCTGTGACAACCAGATATCCATGATGGCAATTCTTCTCCCTTGTCAACTTGGTTGGATTTAGAACATTCTAAGCTGTACACTTCTGGGTGTATCTGTACATATATGAGGGTGTTTCCAAAGAGTTTTAGCTGAGGAGCGAGGATCTACCTTAAATGGGAGTCGCACCATCACATGGGCCCCAGTCCTAGACTGAATAAGAAGAAAAAAATGGAGCAAGCCTGCTGAGTGCCAGTATTCACCTCTTCCTACTTCCTGACTGTAGCTGCAATGTGATCAGCTGCCTCAGGCTCCCGCCACGACAGCTTCCCTACTTTGACAGACTATACCCTCCAATTATGAACCAAGATAATTCATTCCTTCCTTAAGTTGTTTTTTACAAGATATTTTTGGTCATAACAATGAGAAAAATAACTAATGTACACACATCCAAAAGACAGTCATCTAAACAGAGAACTTGCAGATTTCACAAAATTAACTCAGAATATATCACAGACCTGTTACTGGTAGCTGGAACCTGGTAATGCCTGACTCTGAGCTTGATAACAATCTGTCTAAATTTTATTGTTGTTAGGAGAGGAGAAATTTGCCCCATTGTTTAGAGAGAGGTGTACTGTAGCCTGATGAGGGTGGAGGTATAAGTTAGGAGGTGCATTGTTTGGGGACTGCTGCATAGTATGTGTGTGCGGATAAAGGAGTTAGTCTGTCAACTGCATTATTAGAACAGCGGGGCTGTTTGTAACTTAACACAAGTGGGATCTCAGGTTACTAAACTATTCTCATGCTTGGCTTCCTCAGACATAAATGTAAAAGAAAAATCTATGCAATTCGTAGAAGATGACACAGGAAGAATTCTAGATGAACTTGGTTGTGGTAATTATATCTTAGCTATAATTCTAAAGACAGGAATTATAAAATAATTGCTTGACATATTGGACTTCATTAATGCAAAATTCTTTAGCCCTGCAACAGAAACCATCAAGAAGATAAATAACAGATGGTAAAAACATATTTTTAAAAGACATAACTGATAAAGGAAAATTATCTAAAATATACAAAACTCAGAATTCAACAGTAGGTAAAAGAACAACTTCACTAAGAAATGGACAAAAGACCCAAACAGACACTTCAATAAAGAATTTATAATGATAAGCAAACAAATATATTAAAAGAAGTTTGTGCTGGGCGGTGACATGCCTTTAATCACAGCACTCCAG